AATTATAAATGATATACACAAATATTTCTGTGTTTTGTGAAGCGACTTTTGTTCTTAATTTTCATCAAATGTTTTCATTGTGATCAGAAACTATTTTATTTGATCATCAATCATTCCAATAAAAGCATATTTGAATCAACATTAGGTAGTTCTTTCACTGAACGGGACTTCAATTTACTTGGTGGTTCAAGGAAAATGTTATTAACAATACAGTTAGATAATAATAAGATTATTATTTATTATTAATTAATTATTAATTTATGCATATATTTTGGCGACTAAAATTTTTCACTGGCGACCAAACCTGAACAGTCAGTGGCCAAATGGCCACTAAGGAAAAAAGTTAACTTGGAGGGTTGATCTTTTACGTAATATGCAACTTTTTCTCAGCTTCTGTCACTGTTATTGTTAATTAGTTACTTATCTTAAATGTAAAATTTAGTTGTTACTTCTATCCTAAACGGTCACTTCTGAAGATGTATGTCGAAACATACGAAACGTCAAGTTAAATGAATTTGTTTTCCAACATGCGTTTTACTGTCATGTTTATCACCGCAGTTTGTGTGTTATTTCTTATTAAGCTACGATGGCCAAAGAAAAAGAGTATTTACGATATATGAATGAAACCTCTGTCACTGATGTTTTTACTAATTGATTTCATTCTACAGGATGGCAAGAAGAAGAAGAACTAAGGATCTCAACGAGGAGATTGGCAAACATTTTAACCCCTTGTTTAAGTTAATACAATAACGCACTAAAAAGTAGAATAAAAGGAGAAGCTACTATATTTACTTAAAACAGCTGAATCAACTACAATAGGTTTTGCACAAATACTAAATAATGAGTTACTTTAGCTAATGGACCAATCATTCTGATTGTCTAAGAATCATCAATAGTTTAAGATGGCTTACCTGTCATTGATGCTAACAAAATACGTTCGTCATTATTGAGATCATTACTGAATAACATGTTGTGACAGTAACAGACGATGCTGCAGTTATAACCTGCCGTTGCTTGTAAAACTTCACGGTTAGTACCTCATGCTATATTTTCAATGCGTTGTGTGTTCTCTTTAAATTGCACTTTATCGTGTTTAGAACTTATTGACAGATTTGTCATTGTAGCGAAGTGTGAGATAATCTCTTGGTTTACAACTCTTAATGCTTATAAAGTGTGTGCATTATTCCAAAAAAGAGTCTTTTCAGAAATATTCACTTTCCCACCCCCATGACAAGCCTGTCATCGAACGCCTCATTAAGTTTTCCCTGGGCAACTATTCCATTGACGAAGCTACTTGTTAGAGGTTTCCAAGAGTCTCTCACCCCTCAAAAGGTTTCTGCACAACTAGTTTGAAGACCAGGTGTTCAAGATCCTGGCCATTCTCGTTCTCGGAGGCCGCTCTCCTTTTGGTCAGCACCAAGAATCACGACCTCTGGCCGCGTCCAACACCGGAAGTCTGTGATTCACGGACTTCCCGTCACGAGAATTCACATGGCCTGCTTTTAACGGATGTGAGGTATCGATCTAATGACGAAATGTTGGGCAGGGACGTGCTGGTACTAGACTCCCTTCAAACGATACTCCCCGCGGCCCGCACGTGCCCAAAACAAACTTTAATTAATGACGATTCCCAGATATCCATCCTAGAACGCCGTTAAGGGCGTTGGTGCAACGAAACTGAGTTATATATTCTTTTATCAAATGGTTGTCATTGCGATTGTTGCGCCATCGAACGAACACACTGTGCTTCAAAAACCCATCTGTATCCCACATTGACTCTCACCCGTGGTACCGTTTGGTCATTTCGCCAATTCGTGTCTTAAACACGCCCATCCCGCGGGACCACACGGTCTACAGGTGGAAGTATTCACGGTCTACAGGTGGAAGTATTTTAGACCCATGCGGACGCCGAGTACGGACCGCTCCTAGATTTCGCGCCTAAAAATTAGCGGTAATCGTCAATCTTTTGCCTTTTTTACACTTCATCGACGATTAATCAACGCAGGTTTGGAAAGTCACCGCTGTAAGTAAATTCAATTGAGTGTTATGAAGTTGTGAGGGTTTGTTCAGTTTTCTTAGCTTGGCGCTGTAATGGCGCGTAGTCTCTTGTTTCTCTCGCCGTAAAATTTCAAGTAAAATATGAGTCAATTTCGGTCGTTTACCTCTCTGAACGTTGCTGTATTTAAGAGAATTTCTGTGGAATACACTCAACGAATTTCCTCGCTTTTTGCTACTCAATTTACGGTAGTAATTAAAACCAATTTACTGCAGGAAAAATAAAAAATAAACGTGTTATTTTCCGGCGTGGGGTTGGTCTTGTATAGTGAAAAACTGACCTCGGGCTTGAAAATGTTGCCCGAGGCTTTGAGCAGCATTTTCACTTTAATAGACCTCCCAGCCGGTAAATAACATATGTGTATACCACTTGAAAGCGCTGCATAACTAGTTAGATGGTAAGCCTGTACAACCACGTGACTAGCAGACTGACAATGTCCTGTAAGCACAAATAGACGGTGTCGTTCTTTGTATAGTTCTGCTCTGTTGTAAACGAACATGTCAAACTGTTTTCAGTCCTTTCAGTTTCCTTTTGTTACATAGTTTTGTTCAGTGTCATTGGAAACTTTCCTATGACTATGGAAAATTAACTGTGTCAATTCCGAGACTAACTGTTTAATTGATGAAAGTGTTTGGACAAATTTTGGAAAATTTAGTTCCTTTTAATATTTTTCTGGCCAAATCCCGAAATTTAAGTCCAGCGAAATATGCCCGTCCCATTTTCGCGAAATTTAGTTCGGCGAAAATAAGCGTGAACATTAAGGTAGTTCTTTGACCAATGCCGGGAAACCCGCATCCGTTTTCTGTGGTTCTGGAGTCTGAAAATCTCGCTTGCGATTGGTTAGAACACAATAATTCCGGAACTGCCAAAAACAAATTTAGAATTTATGGCGTATACTGGTAATGGTAGGAGCTAATCTTGAAAAAGGTTTGTCTGGCAGCTAAGATTTTTGGCGACATTAAGAAATGCGATATCAAGCCTAATGTTTTTTTCAAAGTTTTATTTTAACAAGAAAATAAAAATTCCACGAGTAGCTTTCTTTATCAGGACTACAATGGAACTGTTCCCATCAAGACAACTGAACGTCATGGTCTTCACTGGCAATTTCATGGTCAAAATTCAGTTGTTGCTGTTCTTCGGTTTTGATATCGAAGCAACTTTAAATCAATAATGATTTTACATTAAAACTCATAAAACCGCGAACAATTAAGTATACTAAAAAATTCATACTAAAAAAGTAACTCTTGTATGCCTTGTGTGCCTATATTTTACCAAAGCGGGAGCACATAACGTTTCATCAACTCCTTAGATTTTCCGGTTATCTGTCCGTAAGGCCTAAGGACTGCGTACCGGTCATATCTTGTCCACCGCCAACTATCCGTTTCATGTCATATTACCATGACATAGTTTCTTACTTAAAAACTAAGTTTATATTTTAAGCCTATTTTGTCACTATGTTTACACAATTATCAAGTGTGTGAAGATCTTTGCACGGCCAATAAAAACACTTTCTTTATTTGGAAAAAAAAAAAAAATCAGTCAAAAAATATGGACAAAGAAAACTAAAGAAAGCGGTACGTTAAAGAATGTAAAGAACGCCCCAACCTCAGGAAACTTCCACAGAAAAAACAACCCCGAGGAAATGAACCGGTTATCTGATTTCTGGTTTATCTTCGTTAATACAACAAAAGATCTTAGGAACTTTTTGTTTACTCTAGACAAGGGGTTCCCAACTGTAAACCGTAATACACCGCTCAAAGCAATTGACTCCCCGCAGAGTTTAATATCGCAGGCATCCAATTCCGTGGCCAAAAGGCGTCAAAAAGAAATGCATTCCAGATGCCCCATAGGTTATTCATAATGGCAAAACAGCAAGGGGTTCGCTTGCTGATGTTTCGAAACATCTCTTTGAAAGATTTAAAGTATACCCACTTTATTGTTTTCCGCTTTTATTGTTTATTCCAAAGTGCGCGTTACTAAATATTCAAAAGCTGACTCAATGGTAAGCCGCTTTTGCGTGTAAATTCCACATTTGAAAGGTACACCATAAAGCTTTCAAAGCTATTTAGAGGAACCGATCGAATATCCGGTGGCCTTTACATGGAGCCGTTGTTTGACTCCTAATTAGATAGATCGTGTCATTGTGGCCAATCAGAACTTGTTTTATGTTCTGACTGTCGTTTTCTTCTGCCGCTAGCCAATCATAGTTTGCGCGCTGAGTATGCTAATTTCGTTGACACTTCATTTCAGTCATGCATAGTCGGCCATTACAAACCGAGGACTTGAACAGGTTGGCGTTCTTTGTGGAATTGCAGAAACTCGAATTCCTTTAGTGTTGCAGTCAGAGTCAAAATGATCACAGAAGCTTATAGTTCAAGTTTTGCTCGATTACTGTTCCCCGTCGTGATCTTTGGGGTTTGTTTATTTCCCTGCTTGTGCCAAAAGAAGTGTGAATCAGTGACAATACCTCTTTGCACAGGTCTACAGTACAACACCACATTATTTCCTAATATGTTGAGACATAGAACACAAGAGGAAGCTGCTCTCGAAGTGCATCAGTTTTTTCCACTGGTGAAAGTTGGGTGTTCCAAGGACTTGGCGTTCTTTTTATGTTCGGTTTACGCTCCCATCTGTACTGTCCTTGCGATCCCGGTTCCTCCATGCCGTTCCCTTTGTGACAGCGCTAGAGATGGATGCGAAGACCTCATGAAGCGTTTTGGATTTACATGGCCAGAGTCCTTGTGGTGCGAAAAGTTTCCTAAATTGGGCGAAGAAATCTGTGTTGGCGAGAATATAACGAGTGGAAGTGGCCAAGGATTGCCTACAAAGAAACCAGAAAGACCAGGAGATGTGAACACTACGACGCAACCACTTGACAGGAGTTTAGTGCCGTTTCGATGTCCAGAAGAGCAAGAAATTGATAACGATCATTACACGTTTTTCGGCAAGAAGAAATGTGCGGCAACCTGTGAAAACATTTATTTCGATGACAAGGAGAGAAAAATTGCCCGTCTCTGGACTGGAATATGGGCAATTCTCTGTTGCATTTCAACCCTCTTCACGATTTTGACTTTCATTATTGACATGAGAAGATTTCGATACCCAGAAAGGCCGATTATATTCCTCTCGGGTTGTTACTTCATGATTTCTGTTTCTTTCATCATTGGCTTCGCTGCTGGAGACTCTTTATCTTGTACAGAATCCAAAACTGGCTTTTCAGTCCTTGTCCAAGGAACTAAGCACGAGGGATGTACTGTAATATTTATGCTGCTGTATTTCTTCAGCATGGCTTCCTCTATCTGGTGGGTTATTCTAACGCTCACTTGGTTCCTGGCGGCCGGACTAAAATGGGGACATGAAGCTATCGAAGCAAATGCTCAATTTTTCCACCTCGCAGCCTGGGCGATTCCTGCGGTCAAAACAATTGCGATTTTATTGATGACAAAAGTTGATGGCGACGAACTAAGCGGCGTTTGTTTTGTTGGACTTTCAGATTTAAATGCACTACGAGGATACGTTTTGGCTCCGTTGTTCGTTTACTTTTTTGTTGGGGCTACGTTTCTTCTGGCGGGATTTGTATCGCTCTTTCGAGTGAGATCCGTTTTAAAAGATGATTATAGCAAGAGGGAGAAAATCGAAAAACTAATGATTCGAATTGGAGTCTTCTCGATCCTATACACTCTTCCAGCAATCTCAGTAATCGGCTGTTTATTTTACGAGCAGGCAAATCGAGAAAAATGGCAGCAATCTTGGTTTGAAGGTTGGAAGCACCAGCAGGCCTGCATCGATGATATGAAAGACGCGAATTGTCCAAAATACCCTATAGTTCATGACAAACCGGATTTCACCGTCTTTATGGTTAAATACTTAATGTTCTTGATCGTAGGAATAACATCAGGATTTTGGATTTGGTCAAGTAAAACCATTAACGTGTGGAGAAAGTTTTACTCCTCCGTAGTACACAAAGTGTTCAGCCATGGAACAAACACGCCTGTATGAAAATCGTCTGTAAAGTTACTAGCGCCATGCAAGAGATGTAAGATTTAGGTACTTCATGCCAAAAACAGCGCCCGTAAATTAAATTTACACCAGATGATAAAGAACTCCGAGATGGCATTTTGCTTTATCACGGCATGGTGCCTTGCAAAGAACTCAATTTCCAAAGCTTTTCAGACCAAGAGTTCATGGTGGGAATTAATTTGCAAATCGCGTGATTGCTAAGGGCCATCTTAGAAAGAACGCATCTTGCCTCGAGTAACTTTATCGTGTGTTTAGCAGCAGTGGAGATAAAGTACGCGGATTTCGTTTTATGAAATGGAAATGTACAGTAATTCGATTTGCTCGAAAAATGGGATGATGCATTCTGTTTACGGCTTTTTTGTAAAGAACTGAAATTGTAAATTGCATGCTTAAGTGCTTATACCAGATGGGACATTTTACTTTGAAACAAAGAAACAAGTAAACTGATATGAAAGAACCGCACCTTCAAACGGATTGTAATAATGTATAGTAATGAAATACCGTAATGTGATTTCTCTCAATTTCTACTGTGATATTACGTTGTAAAGATAGTCCAATGTCTTAGTTGAAATGCTGACTTCATTTAGAAAATTAGAAAATTTAGATCCAATAATATCCAATACATCTTTGATTCTTCCCTTTCTGTAGCTTATCCTAGATAACATCTCCATCTGTTGATGTAGTAGAAGTAATCCTCAACTTTGAATTTTCTAGAAAAGGAGATTTGTTGCTTGCTTGTTTGTTTGTTTGCTGGGCTGATGTGCTCTTTCGTTCTTATCTATCACTTTTTCCTCCAGTTTGTGATATTTTTTCTTTTTGCTTTGTTTATTGACACTTGCATACCTAAGACTTAAAGCATGAGTACTGTCTAGAGAGGAAGGGTGTCTACTCCATTTCAGGATGTCAAATGAGAGGAATTCCATCAGTCGCCCATGTGTTTTTTCTCCTAAGCTACTTACTTACGGTAATCCAATCTGATTTGAGACTCCAACTTTTCATGTTCATAGACTTAATAGTTATTTTTTTCATTTGTAGAAAAAGAGAGGAAAGTACATTTTTTGCTATACTCCAGATTGGACTACCTGCTCTTATGTTATTACAGAAGTGTGTACTTAGCCTCTTTAGCAGGTTTCTGTAAAGCGTTGTTTAGTTTCATTTTTTACGGTCTTGATTGTAGATGAATGGAATGCTTTGATGAATATCCAGTGAGTTCAACAAAACATATGTATTATGGACAGCCATTCTGATGTTGATGTTACTTTGATTTTTGACATGTTATGCGCTGATTAAGACCAATATTAAAGCTTTTGTTATATACATTTCACATCTGGTTTGTTTCCACAGGGTATTCCCTTGAGTATTGGTCCTTCAATTAATATGTGGTGCCAAAAAGAAACTGTTCAATTGTTAAATAGAAGTCATGGTCAAAATCATTGAGACTTTTGTGGATTTGCTGTTATTAAAAATTGACAATTTGAAAGCAATGCCCAATTTTTTTGAAGAGAAATGTGGTTTAAAATCCCCTCACAAATTTTGATGTAATTTTCACAGAGCATTTCTTTAGCAGAAGTACATACCTCATTTCCACATGGAAGTATTATCTTCCATAGTTATGCAACAATTGATATTGGTGTTTTAGAATTTCTAAAAAGTGTAACGTCTTATTAGACCACTTAATAATTCTGTGATTCCAAAACATCTTTAATAAACAGAAATCCAGTTGTCCAAGGAACATTACTTCCTAGTGAAAAAAAATTTTTTTTTCAACTGTCACCTTCAGAATTAAACCTTACAAAAAAAACAACAAAAAAAAAACACGAATATGGTTGCTGTTTTGAGGATAAAAGCATGCATAACACAGTCAGGCTTTAAATGATAATAATTTTAAGTCATCATCATCATCATCATCATCATCATCATCATCATCTTTTATCACCCCGGGGGAGCATAGGGCATCCACCAGTACCCTCCAATGTACGTGGTCTTTGCCAATGCTTCGGTTCTCTCTTAGGAGTACCCCACTCTTCCAACTCTGCAGCATGGACTGCTTCCAATTTTGAGTCATGGTAAAGCATGGTAATAGCAAAATAAGAGCCTGGAGAAAAAGAAAGGTTTGAGTTTGGCTGCAAAGACTGGAAATGATGATGAACAGGAGTAGTGAGCGGAGTTATATTTGGCCTTTATTCATACAAGTGATAAAATTGGACGAGTGTGTAGTAGGAGTCCAATTTGTTTAATCATGAGTATGACTTCGCAAAGAATTGGATGACACAGATTCTTGCTACCAACGAATCAAGATTTGATTACCATAACCTTTGGCTAGATGTCTTGATAAATAAGCAGTTTACTGTGCCTTTCAATAATGCATGAACTTTGCTCAATCAATTGTTTTGTGTTTTGCTGCCCAACTGGACCTCCCAGGAAACAAAAGTTTACTTTTAATAAATGAGTTGGTGGATTTTGATCCATTATCTTTGTTTCTTGTTCTCAAGGATTGTTGGTTGTTGTCATAGTTATGATTAACAGCACCCAATAGCACTTTTGCAATTTCAGAGTTTTGGTGTTATCAAAAGGCACTGTAACACTTCAGATTATTTTTTTTGGCTAAGATGCAGCATGAGTATAGCAAGCTTTTTGACTACATCAGTGGAAGAAACATGGTTTGCAGGATAGGGGACTGTCCAACTAGCCTGCTGATAATTAACCAAACATATTCATGAATTTTGTAGTCTTGGTCAAGAGAGTGCTGAGCTTGAATAATTGGCTGAGCATGCAATTTGAAATTGTCTAATTGCTCCTTGAATTGCATTCCACCTACCCAGCCGAGTTACTTTTAGTAGTTGTGAGCTGGCATCTAATGTATTTTATATCTGTTCAGTTGTGTGTGCTTGTGTAAGATATTTAAAAACGCAGTTAAAAGAAACTGAAAAATAAACTCTTTCAGTTTCTCAAAGAAATTCCTATAAAAACACCTTTGATAATTGGTTTTGATTAGTTTTTATTGTTAATTCTAAATAGACACATATGTTGAAGGATTTTTTGGAGGTGTTTCATTTCAGATTTATAGCCTGGGGCAACAAGCCAGGTTTCAAACAGAGGGTAAATTTATGTGCTGGACATAAGCATTCAGAGTTCTTTTTTAAAAAGTTCTGCAGAGACTGGGAATCTAAACAGCAAAGGTGTTTCTTTCTTTGTGGAGTCTAGGCATGCCACCCCAGAAAATTAAAAAGAAATAATTTGAAGGTTTCTTGGAAGTTTCTCTGATTCAGAGAGACAAAGGGAACTGTTTTTAAGCATTTAAAGTGGAAATTTGTACTTTGGTGGCACTTTCTGAATTCTTTGAAGCTTACCTCATGCTAAAAAAATGGTTTGTTCAAAATATGAAAATGTGCTAGTCATAATTTGTTTCAGTGCAATGTCATGTTGCTTTGTCCCAGTCTTGTCCAGTTAATAGGTTTGAATGTACACTAAAATTAATCCTTTCCACCTTTGCTACAGAGTGAAATGGATACCAGCAATTACCATGGCATGAGTCTGTCATGGGCTGTTGCTTCTGTTTTTATTTCATTGTTTTAAAAACTAACTGAACATCCCTTCTCCTGTGGGAGGGGGGGAGGGTGCGTGGAGAAGAATTTTCTGTGTATTTGACACCCATCCCCAGGGCCAAACATGAAGTGTTCAAATTCTCAACCTAAGGGTGATACTAGGCGATCAAATGCTCCTGAGACAGTCACATGCATGGTGGACTGGAAAAGAAAGAAATTAACCCTGGAACACTCGTGCTTAGTTTTGATGTATTATCAAAATAAGAATCTATCTCGTTCCCAGGGTCTCTCATCTTACTGCCCCCTGGAGCCTGCGAGGAGGGGGCGGGAGAGACTAAGAAGAGAGAATAAGAATGTGATTTTAAAATAGTGTCACCCACGTGCCCGCGAGGCGACTGGGAACGAGTCAGAAGAAAAACATGGCGGAGGAACTGTCGAGGGTTCGTCCGGAGCATAAGTTTGATGAGGGTGCCCTTCAGGAATATCTCATACGAAACTTGCCAGGTTTTCCCCGAAATCATGGAGAGTGGACTGTTCTACAGTACAGGTTTGTGTTATTTAATGTAACGGGAGCATCAGTGCTTAATGTTTAGCGTCGATCTCCCAGTTTTTCGGGGATGATCGATCATCATCCTCGAAAAAACTGGGCTGCACTTGACATAAACAATATCAGTACAAAACATAGATTGCGAACTACAGACTGCAAATTGCAGAGCGGAAAAAATGCAGACTAAAGACTGCAGACTTTATCGAGAGCTAACTGTAAACTGGCTAATCTGACCGGAGCACTATTCAGTCTAAGTTGGCCACAGTGTACACTTTCACTCTGGTTAGCCTGAGTCCCGGGAGGGGGACTCCCATAAAAAAGGGCGGGGGTGTTTGTCGTACCTTTTAGGGGTTAAAAAAGCAGTTTTGGTATCTCTTAGGGTGGTTAGCCTCAAAAGGTCCACTGCGGGAGCTTTTGCAGTACCTTTAAAGTGCCACTGAAACGAAATTTTTGTATGCGAGATTTTTGCTTAGTAATAAAGTTTCAACCTTACTTNTAAACTGGCTAATCTGACCGGAGCACTATTCAGTCTAAGTTGGCCACAGTGTACACTTTCACTCTGGTTAGCCTGAGTCCCGGGAGGGGGACTCCCATAAAAAAGGGCGGGGGTGTTTGTTGTACCTTTTAGGGGTTAAAAAAAGCGGTTTTGGTATCTCTTAGGGTGGTTAGCCTCAAAAGGTCCACAGCGGGAGCTTTTGCAGTACCTTTTAGGGTGTTGGGCAAAAAAATTATGACAGAAGATAACGTATTATGTAAGAATTGGTAACTCTTGGGGGAGAAAAAAATTTCAAGCTATGCCCACAAAATAGGATCTTGGTACCCCTCAGGGGGTTCTTTTCAAAATTTCCAACAAGCACCCTTTTTATACATGAATGGGAGTCCACACCCTGGGGCCTGAGTAAATACCCAGATTAGCCAACAGGTGTGCATTTAGTTCTCAATATTGGCAATGGTAACACGATATTATATGTTCAAAGCGTCTGCAGTCTGCATTTTACCCCTGGTCTGCAGTCAGGGGAGGGGTACTCCCATATCAACTGTAAGCTACATGGGTATGTGCCACTGTGAAGGGTATTATTTTCAGGCAATTTAGTCTGGGATAGGGTACAGAAATGAGACAATTTTGCTCCAGAACAGGGTAGAATTTATCTGGATAGTGGCCACTCTTTAAATGATTTAGTCTAGAACAGGTTTCTTTATCTGGGTTTCTACAGGAGCCCATTACCTGGAGCCTCAATACGAATTGTACCCTTGAGTCAACCCTGTCCTGTATCTTTTAATTTTTTTGATCTGTGATATCTGCGGGAGTTCTTTAATTTCCCGCGAAAACAATCTTGTTTTTGTTGACGTCTGCATAACACCCTAAAAGAAATGGAGGCCAAAGGGGAAGGGTGATCTCTATTACTTCTCCCATTTTCCCTTCTATTTTGATCCCTTTTCCTATCTTACAACCAAGGGAAACTGGGTATCAGCTAACTGGAAGTTAGTAAAGTAATTTATTATATGGCTCTGTCTCACAAGGACTGGGAACTATCAAATTCACCAATTTGATTGGCTGAAATCGATATTGAAAGCGGTCTAGATTTTCCCATCTAGACCAGCATCTAGACTGGTGACGTTTGGCAGTGAAAAAGTTGCAAGCTAAAATGCAAAATCATTCACTATTTTCATCTAACAATATTTGTTTATGGAAGTGCCAAAAAGCCTGGTGAGAAAAAAAAAAGTAAAGAGGACGTCTGCTAATGTGCTGAATAGCTGGCAGCAATATTTGAGTGAACCTTGTGGTGGAAAAACAATTTGCAAGAAGTGTGCTGTCTTCACTGGTGATTGAGCCAAAGAAGTCTGACCTTTTTGTGAGAGCTGCCGAGTGCTGTAATCCAAGTACTTGGAGTAGTTAAATAAATAAACACAGTTTGTTACTGCCATTGCTCTTACCAATGATCCAGGGAACAACCCTGTTCTGCATTGACGCTTGTAATTCAAGGATAGTCATTAGGTTAAGCAGAAATTTCCTTTCCCTTGGCAGCATTTTCTACCATTTAGGTACGGTACTCAAGTACTGTAAGTGTTTTTGCTGTAAGTGTTTTTTCTCTCGCCGTGATGAAATCATCCCTGGAGACCCAGGGGCAGTTGGTGGGGGCAGGAAAAAGTCTAAACAAGTGAGAAGAAAAATTTGGGCGAAGTCGTTCTTGACTTTTCTTTTGAATCCCAAATTTTTTTCCTTGCCCGTTTAGACTTTTTCCTGTCCCCACTAACTGCCCCTGGGTCTCTGAGGATGTGATGAAATTTGAATTAAGGTATTTGTTTTTGTTTTTGCCACAAGTGTGTGTAGTTTGCCTGGAGTAATTTGAATTTCTTTTGAATTTTATTTTTGCTGTGATGAATTTGAATTTGCCCTGACAAATTTTATTTTGCTGTGGCAGTAGTGGGCCACCATAGATTTCTGTTAACTCGAGCATACTCAATGAGCTGTGGTTGTTGAATAAAGGCACTAGTGGCTTGTGGGGTGTCGCGATCCTGAATCTGGGTGCTCCAAGTATGTAGATTCTCAGCCTCTCCTTGGCCCATTTGATTGCCAAAGTGTCTTTCTTGGTCTGACTGTACCTTTTCTCAGTCTGTCATTGTTTAGCTGATGAATTGTACCCCTTGTGTTATGCAGCTCCTGTCTGTCTTCTGGAGCAGGGCTGCTGATAAGCCTTCATTGAAGCTTGCCTCTGTACGGAGGATTATAGGTTTGCTTGGGTTGAAGAATGCCATAGTCTTCTCACTTGAGATGCTGTCTTTTATCTTCCTGAATGCTTCTTCTTATTGTTTTCCCCAATGAAATTTCATTTCTGTTCTGGTAAGCTGATACAGCATTGCTTCTATGGCTGCATAGTTTGATGAAGTTGTCCAGGTGGCCTATACATACCAAGAAAGCTTCACATAGCCTCTTTGTTCTCAGGCACTCTGCACTCTTTGATTGCTTTTACTATGTGAAGTGATGGTTTTGTCCAGCTTTGGTTAAGATGTGTGTAAAAAACTTGATTTGCTCCATCCCGAACTGGCATTTCTCCCTGTTGAATGTGATCCTGCAGTCTCTGGCTCATTGTAACAGGGTCTTCAATACTTCTCTGTGCTCAGTCTCATCTCTTCCTCCCAGGATGTATGTCATCTCCCTGGTTCAGGCAGTGGGGTATGTCTCTGTAGATTGTTCATGAACTTGGCTTCATTGGAGACATCTTGCGAGTTTTTGGGGTCTGTAGTTTCCCCAAGGTGTGCTGAATGTAACAACTTGTCTTGTGGACATGTCTACAGCTAGCTGGTGGTAATCTTGTCTGAGATCCAGTTTTGTAAAGATCCTGCAATCATGCAGGTGATAGACGAAGTCTTCTACTCTTGGTGATTGGATGCACTGGCTTTGTTTCATGGACTGGTGTGGAATTCTCAAGTCAGTGCTTGCTCTGATCATGTGGACTCTAGTTCTTCACTCCTCACTTCTGTGAACTTGGGTTTTAGTTGAATGACTAGTGGTGAACGCTACGTAATTGTCTCGCCATCTGGGACTTTCTCAAACATCTCCTCCTTCACCCCCTGATCAAGCCATTCTTTGAGTGCTTTCTGCAGGTGATATGGTACAGGGCATGGTTTCTGAGCCACAGGTTCTGCATTGGGATCCACATCTAGCTTAACTTCTCTCTTCTTGCCTTCTTTCTTGTCCTGAAAGCAACCGATCCATTGGAATGTGTCACTGTAGTTGTTTAGTACTGCTTCAATGCTGTCCTGAGGTGCCTTCGCAGTAATTTAAACTCTCAGTTCACTGGTCTCTTTAAGTGTTCCTTGCCGATCGATTTTGAGCATTCCAAGCTTTCAACAACAGTCTACTCTTACTTAGGTGGTGAAGAGTCCATCTTCCCTTAGAACTTGCTCTCAAATACGATGTTACCATCATTACCATTATTATTAAATACATGGCCACGTAAACATTCCTGGAATGGAAGACATTTTTGCAGTTTTTCCACTGTATGCCAAAACAGTTTTTGTTACTAGCCACTAAAAGTCTAAGGGGTAGATGGTTGCTTATAGGAGCTTGCCCAGCTCACATTGAACAGTGGGACAGGAAAAGATTGCATATTATGCCCTTTGTCAGCCTCCCAATCTTACAGTACTTTGTTGTCATTCCAGGCAAGTAGGGTAATGAATTGATTTTCCATTAAGTAGTGATCTCAAATTTTGAAGGAAAAGTAACAACTGCAGAAGTGTTTGTTAATAGTTTGCTCTCCTTCTGCAGGTCAGGTCAGTCTAATCCAACATTTTACCTGGCTAAAAATGGAAAAGAGTTTGTTCTCAGAAAAAAACCACCAGGCAAATTGTTGAGAGGGGCCCATCAGGTAAATATAATTCACCACAATTGCTACTAATCTCGCAATCTGATTGGCTAATTTGCTGTTGTTGATAAGAGTCCAGACAACGCTGCTCGCGTCAATGTATCACACTCTTGGTCACGCTCTGAAAGAAACATTTTCTTTGACATTGATATTGTGGTAAAAAACAAATCAAATGTGGTTTAGCGTTGTCTGTACTCTTATCAACAACAATAAGTGTCAAAATTTGTTGTGGACTCACTTGGCTGCACCTCATGAGTCCACAACATTTTGACCAAGGTGATGATGCATGCTCATTGTCGATAAGAGTACAGACAATGCTGAACCACATTTGATTTGTTAATTACAAAGTGTCAAACAGTCTCAACTGTTAGCAAAAGTTATTAATGATTGT